TCTCCTTGAAGTGTTATGAGAGACATAGGTCTGAGTAAAAATCTAGGTTGAGTATAACCATCTACCCAGCAATCATCCATTCCACCTTTTGTCAAAGTATCACATCGCCCTACCTCTAAGAGAGCTTTACTCTCATATACTTCAAATGATGGTACTTGTTGGAGCCGATTGCCTCGACCGTGTCTACTGATGGGAATAAAAGTGGGAACGATTGTTTTTGCCATTGTATTCTGTTCATCATTATGTGTACATACAACAAATGGGTAGATAAAATATAGGATGAATACTGCCACTGTCGTCATATAAAATATATATATAATATGTACAACGCTTGCATATTAAAGCTTGTTGTTCATCATCATAATACAGTTTTGCCATTATTTATATCAGAAAGAGTTATTTATAGACTCTTTTTTTGTTAACAATGAACCTTGTAGTTTTTTTGGTCATATTATCTTTTAGTTTGTTCCACAATTAAGAAAAAAAAATGTAGTAGCAGAGGTAGGTGTGTAACCATTATCATCACTAGTAAAATATGGACTCTGGGTACAATCACACTCATCATATGCTATTAGGCAAATATTTATAAATATCTTTGGATTTTCAGCTAAATTTGGACAATTATTCAAATATCTCTATTATATGTTTTCAAATACTTTTATCCATATTGTATCTGTATATATATATATATATATATATATATATATATATATATATATAACAATTGTAATCGTTATGAGAAATCGATGCAAATTCAAAAATTCTTTATTGAATTAATATAGCCTTTTATATGTGCGTTTTTATACATCAAGACGTTAAAGTTGAGTTTGTTGAAAAGTTCTTTTAATATTGGTTTGTTGTTATTATTAATATTATTATTGGGAGAGTCAACGAGATCATCTATAATGAGATCTTGACCTTTCGGGTTACTTGAGGTCTTGTAGACTTTATCCATTTTCAGTTTGTGAAATTGTCTCTTGGTGATACTATATTAATTACAATACTAATTATTCGATATAAATATTTTTACTTTAAATATTCTTACTTTAAATGTTTTTAGTCAGCTACTTGTTATTTTTTGGGTTGTATCTTCCGTCACACTCACTGTAATAAGGATTTATAATCTTCATTCTCCCCACAAATATGGCACCTGCAGATTTTAATTTACCTGTAGGTGGTTATACTGAAAAAAACTATAGCGATGCTGATATGTATTCAAAAAATAAATTACTGCAACAGCAAATTTGTTCATTAGTCGCCCTTGAGCCAGCTACTTATTCCTTTGTCAATATAACCAATCAAGGGATCGACGGTTGGAAATCGCTGGGCATCGAGATAGAGCGTGGTCAGGCACTCGCCCCGTTTTACGAAATTACCTATAATGTTGACAAGCTTGATTGCTCAAAATTTTCTTGCTTGCCAATAGATGTTCGAGATAACAAAAATGGGATAGGGTCATGTAACTTTAAAAAGACACCAGCTATCGATATAAACTTTGGATTGAAATCCGACATGTATACAGCGTGTGGAGAGGCATGCTATAGTCTCAGTAAAAGGATTGATCCACATACTGGACTTCCCAAAGCCAGTGGGAATCTAATGATAAAAGGAGAAAATGGAATCTGTAATTATATCAATCAGAATTTACTGTTATGGGGTACCTTGCCCCAATCCAGAGTCACCCAGTCTGGCGATATTGTAAATGGTTACAATGATAATTTTGTCCCACCATTTACCGTCATTGATAATGGCATGTATAATAAATTAGAAATTACCCAAGCCTATTGTCAATATTTCAAGAGATGGTTTAACGATAAAGAGAAAAAATGCTATCGTAGCACGTGGATGAAGTTGTTACACATGACTTTTGGCACAGCTATATCTAACGTGTTTTTTCCACAGAATACCAACATGATAAATAATGCTAGGACTAAGGTAAATATGAGAAAACTTAAATACCCGAACGTCGAAAAAATAATAAAACGCGACAATGACAAAAAATCTAATACGAACATAAAATAAAAATGATGTCGTCTGCTATAACTGACATACTGACATCGTCTATACTTTCTGATGACAATGGCGGGAGTGGAGATGAAACGACTTTCTCAAAGGCGGATTTACCATTATCACAATTAGCATTGACTACCCCTACTAATACTAATGCGCGAATAACAAGGGTTGTAAACAATTCGATACCTAATAATGGTGATGTGTTTATTACAGATGGATATCTTAAAGATCTAAATGAGAAAAAGCTAGACTCAATAAAAAAGCTAAAAGATGAAATGATATCCTTTTTGAAAGGAAACGAAAAAAAATATAGAGTAAGAAAAAAGGACAAGATAATGGCTATAGAAAGAAAAGCAGAAAATATTATAGAAACATTAATAGACTTTGTTGTTATATGTAAAGTGCATAAAGTAAAAGATCTAGAGGCAAGACGATTAATACTTTCAAAAAATTTTACATGTGTGTAAAAACGACCGATGTGTAAAATTACCCGAGGCACTTCAAATTATCAACCTTTATTCCAAGATAAAGAATATCATGTTTCCAAATGCGCGCTTACGTGAAAAGAAACAACAACATCCTCTATTCAAGAGCGATGACGATCTGACAATGTTTGTCAATGACCGCTATAGAATTCATGAGGGTGAAACGTCACCAAAGTCAGAAAAGCCACCCTATATCATTCAAATGGTCAAGTCAATTACAGGTTCGGGTAATAATACATCCGCGTCCACCACTTTTATTCCATCTCTATTGAACATGTATCCTTTTATGCCGACAATAAGAAAGAGCTTGACAAACATTGCTTTTCATTTATGGAACGATCTTCACGATCTCATATCTCCCGACTGGGCAAGGTATAACGATGATTTTTCTTACGATAATAATTTTTTTGTTATGCTGATGGTGGATAATGTAATACACAAGAGCCTATCGTATATGGCTACCGCTTGTAGAAACATTGTCGAGAGACTGTCGGTTCGTACCATAGAGTCGTTGGCAGCGAGAGGTGCGCTAATGGCAGAAGATGCCTTGACGACCGTCTTTTCTAGAATGGTAATTTCCCGCCCAGCGACTAGCGGTAGATTTTTTAGTGCGAGGAGCCATTGTTACAGCACTGGAAATATTTGTTGAACTAGCAGCACTGGTTGCAGGGGTATTAGATGGAATTGGTATTCTCCTGATAGTAGGGGGGGTTCTAGGTATGGTTCTTGACTTGGCATTAAACATGACATGGTACGATAACGTTATGACACCAGAAACCTTGGCATCACATATCAAAAATTATGTAACAGCCTTCAAATCGACAACGGATTTAACGGCTGGGGAAATAGCTCCAGTAACACCAAAGGAACTAGTAGAAATTGCTATAAATTCGGAAATGAATAGCTTTGATGAGAATAAAAATGACTATGAAACCTTTCTAAATATATTTTGACGAAAAGCCGCTCATTGGGTCGAAGACCGAAACATTCTTACAGGAAGCGTATTTTGAATATCTCGGAACCAAGACGATGAATAGTTTAGGACAACCTTTATCTAGAGCAACCGGTACTAATAACAACAGTAGCAACAACGGAGGACCGATCACTGCTTATCTAGACGGGGGTAAGGAGAAAATTGTGAAACTATTACATACTGGATCAAAATATACGGATATGGTAACCTACAATGCGCCACGTGTAACGGCCTACAATTTAGAACATAAAGAAGATAGAAATCATTTTGTAAAGCTAGAATCACTGCAAGAAACACGAATCATGGCGAAATGGACAATGTTGGGTGCCGGTGTTAGCATGTTGATTGGAACGTTGGTTCTTTTCTTTGGTCTTGTTAGTTTCTGGCAAAGCGATATTCCCCTAAACCTTTTTCTTGTAGCAATACTTATTTATATATTTTTATTGGCGAGATCCCACCTTGCAATAACTAAGACGAGAATAATTGTTTGTGATTTTATCAAGAATTCTCGATTGTTCTAAATGAAAACAATCTCATGAAATATAAAGACGTTGAGGAACTAAAAGAAAATTCTGCCTCCGTTAGATATTTTTTTTCAGAATTTACAAAACCGTTTTCTAATTTCATTCAAACATCTATATAGAAAAGCCAATAATATATATACAATGTATATATAATAGACCTCCTAGGTAATTCGTTCAATAAGATAAAAATGATTGTAATATGAAAGTTTTTTTTATATATAACCAATCACTCATTAGCTTAAGAGGATAATAATATCAATGAGTTATCAAGAAATATATATTTTTTTATTTTGTTCCATAGTCATAATTGGAGAAATAGTCGTTTAACACCATGATTACTTATTCACCTCTCTGGATACCTGGAAAGAAACACGAATCGATATATTAACAATATATGCACTGGTGATTGAATAAGGTTAAATATGTTACTCGTATGGAAATAAAAACAATAACCTATACTTATAATGTATTACCTTGTTCATGCACACTATTCTCTCAAGAGGTCGGCATAGAATAAATAATATTTCTTGGGAAGATTCAGGGTCAAGATGCACCCATAGAATATTTCTGTACCGAAGCAATTTTTCCTAGAGAGAAGAAAGTATATTTATTTAGTGTTAAATATAAACAGATTTGTATAGTTTCATAGTTTTTTTTTTTATATAAGAATATATATATATATATATATATATATATATATATATATATATATATATATATATATATATATATATATATATATATATATATATATATGTATCTTTTACCTGCAATCTCTCTCAATAGTTGTATCCTTCCTATAGATATTCTGGCAGTCCAAACACACCCTATTGAGCTTGGTCCAGAGTCTTCGGTCGTATACCCCTTTACACGAAGCGTCAAAGGTCTGCCTCTTTCTTCTGATGGATAATCTGTCACTCATATTGCAGGAAGTGTTTAGTTTCAAGACGAATTTTACACCGTTACTGTTGTGCGATACCAGAACGGTGATCAGAACAAGAATTGATGCTGAGACAAGAACGATCTGTAAGAAGGGAAGAACGAAAACTGTGAGATATGGCGACGAAACAAAAACGTTAAAAATAAGAAATTGAATAAACGGATACCTTGATTTATATATAAAAATATACTATATTACCTTATTATGATCCATAGTTAACTATTGTATTTATAGTTATTTCCGAGTTCTCGCTTTCAGACCTGCAGAGTAGCCCTATGTTACAAATAAGATATTTACTCTGCGATTGAAGCACCAACAAAAATCATCTGATATATATATATATGTATATGTATATATTGGCCAGAGTTTATACAATTATTTGTATTGTAATGTGGTTCTTATAACAAAAATATTAACATATAAGGGCTATATAGTTAAATTTTTATATTTATACAACGAGATATATAAAAAAAAAGTTCATTTTCACAGAAGAATGGAAAAAGAAAATTCCGAGGGGTGCTCGTTCACACAGAATCGTCCAAGTCTAGAATCTATAAGGCGTTCAAGAGTCTTGACTTGGTGTTTGAGGCGACAAGATTACAGACATTTATCGACTGGCCATTGGAAAAGCCAAATCCTTCTGAACTAGCTACTGATGGATTTATTTATACAAGGACTAAAGATTATTGTACGTGTGTATTTTGTTGGCAATTAATTCAGATTGAAATAAATGATAATCCAAGACAAAAACATGAAAGGATTGCACCTTTTTGTCCCTTTATTAGGGATCAACCGGTTGGTAATGTTCCCATCAATCAGAATACTTGCGGAACAATTGTGACTAAGTCTTATCCTGAATGTGATCGCCTGGGTGTTTTTATCAAACGTTGTCCACCAAAACGCAAGGATTATATGTTAATAGAAAAGAGATTGAAAAGTTTTGATGTTAACAAATGGCCTGATGATCTTACACAAACAAGAGAAGATCTTGTCGACGCAGGTTTTTTTTATTGCGGTAAGTTTTAATAACGTATATACACACACACACACACACATATACATATATATATATATATATATATATATATATATATATATATATATATATATATATATATATATATATATTATATTATGGGTAATATTGATATGCGAAATTATCATTACAGGTTTGAGTGACCACGTTCGTTGTTTTCACTGTGGAAATGGTCTACGCAACTGGGAATCTGGTGATATACCTTGGAATGAGCATGCTAGATGGTATCCACATTGCCATTATGTTAATATTAGGAAAGGACAAGAATTTATTGAAAAAGTAAGTATTTTCTGACTTTTTCTATTCTTTATGTATAATGTGATTGTTTTTTTATAGTGATTGTCTATATATATATATATATATATATATATATATATATATATATATATATATATATATATATATATATAGTTAATCACTTGTTTGATATTTGTTTTTTCAGATTCAACGAGAAAATCCTCCATTGCAATACCAACAACCTGATGAACAACAAATTGAACTTTTAATAAATGAATATGATATTTTTAGAGTTGTGTTAAAATATATGAAAAGTGAGTTTGATATGAGAGATGAAGAATACAATTATAGATTTCTTAGAGACATTATTATTGATCGCTTTAAGAGAACTGGAATGTGGACCTATGACAGAATTGATACTATGATTCTTGATGTAAAAGAATCTATAACTCCACAAATAAGTAAGAGTCATAGTTGTACTGAATATACCGGAATGATATGTCCAGTCACGGCTACTCAAGTAAGTCTGACTAGTGGCGGGGAATATACTGATATAGGTGGAGTAAAAATCGTGAATTCTGCTGCAAAAAATGATCACTACCAAAGCTGCGACGAAGACGACAATACTGTCAACGAATAAAACAGAGAGACAAGATAATACCATTACCTCACAATGGACTAATCATACAAGTAGGTATATGACGAATGATAATAAATTGTTATTTATATTAATTTGTATATATATATATATATATATATATATATATATATATATATATATATATATATATATATATATATATATATATATATATCTGTCTTTTGTAATCTAACCAATTGTGCTATTCTCTTTTTAGGAGATGAATTGGAAAATGAACTTGAACAGATGCGCAACTCTATCACATGCAAATTGTGTATGGTGTATAAAATTAGTGTAATGTTCACACCTTGCGCACATATGGTCACATGTCATTATTGTGCTTTAAATATAGAAAGGTGTCCCGTTTGTACAAAAATGATTGAATATATATGTAAACCCTATATGTAAATTCTCTCTCTATATGTATATATATATATATATATATCACTTGTAATTTCATAAATAAAGTTATGAAAAATTATGGGCATTATGAAAGTGTCTTTTATGCAGCAGACTGGTTGATGATAATTGGACAAATAATAAGAGTTTCATATCTCATAATTCAGCTTTTGCCTGTAAATTAACGAATAATAAAATTATAAAAAAAAATGTCGACTATGAAGGGCTGTATAGATTAATTTTTGTACTTATATGCTGAGATTTAAAAATGAAGCTAGTCTTTAAAAAGATGGATAAAGAAATAGAGAAGACCGGATGTTCGTCTACACAAGAATCGTCATTAAGGCTCAAGTCTAGAATCAACAAGACATTCAAAAATTATGATTATTTAAAATCTGAGACTGCGAGATTACAGACGTTTATCGACTGGCCATTGGAATGGTTAAAGCCTTCTGAACTAGCTGCTGCTGGCTTTTATTATATGAGGACTAAAGATCATTGTGCGTGTATATTCTGTGCACAAATAATTGGGATGTGGGAAAAGAATGACAACCCAAGACAAGAACATGAGAGACATTCACCTCATTGTCCTTTTATAAGGGGACAAAATGTCGGTAATATTGCTATCAATCCAAAAAACAATATTTGCTACACACAGGATACAGATATTTGTGGAACCCAAGACTTATGGCCGGATCTTATCCCGAATGCGGTAAGTGAAATTACAATATTTTTTTGAAATCCTGAATGCGGTAAGTGAAATTACAAATATTTTGATATAATTCGAGTTATCGAAAATTAATATTTTGCTATTTTCCCCCCTATAAAGCTCCTCCGGATATTAACAAACACACCCCCCCGGTGTTTTTACCAAACATTCTCCACCAAAACGTGACAGCTTTATGTTGAAAGAGGATAGACTGAAAAGCTTTGATGACAGTACCAAGTGGCCTGATGAACTTACACAAATAAAAGAAGATCTTGTCGACGCGGGTTTTTTTTATTGTGGTGAGTCATATTACAAAGAATTGTTGAAATATTGGGATAACCATATATTATCAATGTTGAATTGTGACTATAGAACTTGACCACAGGTTTGAGTGACCACGTTCGTTGTTTCACTGTGGAAATGGATTACACAACTGGGAAACCAGTGATATACCTTGGATTGAACATGCTAGGTGGTATCCAGATTGTTACTACGTTAAATAAACAAAAGGGCAAGAATTCATCGACAAAGTAAGTAAATATATGTTCTTTTTCTTTTTACTTTATTTATATTCCCTCTCTCCTTATATATATATATATATATATATATATATATATATATATATATATATATATATATATATATATATATATATATATATATGATTATTATTTATTTTCAGATTCAACGAGAAAATTCTTCACTGCAATATCAACAACTTAATGACCAACAACCTGAACCACATGATTCTCGTTTGCCAAGTGATGAATATACCGAAATGGCAAATACATCTAGAGAAGAATCTGTGACCCCAATCACGGCCACTCAAATAGATCCGACTAGTGGTGAGGAGTATACAAGAATAGGTGAAGTGAGAATCGTGAATTCTGCTGTACATCAGACGCCATCAAATGAAATAGAGAGACAAAATAACTCACAACGGATTGCTTGTGACAGTAAGTATTATCTGTAACAATAAGTATAAGGCTAATAATATAATTCGTTGTTTAAATATTCTAATCAATTGTATCTTCTCTTTATTAGGAAATGAATTGGAAAAGGAGCTTGATCGGATACGCGACTCTACTACATGTGTAGTGTGTATGGTACATGAAATTAGTATATTATTCATACCTTGCGCACATATGGTCACGTGTAAAACTTGTTCTTTAAATTTAACAAAATGTCCCATTTGTACAAAGATTATTGAATATACCATTGTTCCCTATAAACCATAATATATATATATATATATATATATATATATATATATATATATATATATATATATATATATATATATATATATACATTATATGTTTTTATATATGTGTAATTTCATTGAAATATATTTTTTTGTAACGTTTATGGCCCACTTTTCTTTACCCTCCTCCTACTCACCTGATTCTTTTCTCCAAGTACAATGATGATGTATTTATTTAAATATAAATATAAAATTATAAAGCATAAAACTTTTTATGTGAATTACAGTTAGGCAAAATTCTTAAATAATATCTAACCAGATAACCCATCTATCTACAATCATGGATAGCAACCTTGCACATATCAGTTATTGTATTAATAAACTGGATAGTTTAAAAAAACTCCACAACTATGGTTTAGAGTGGGATCATACTGAAGGAAACGTGATTGATACAACTCTTCCGGTATTAAAAAGGAGTGACACAGATGGCTTGCCTTTGATGTTTGGAGTGTCATTTTATGATTGTAATTTTAACCTGGTATTTACACCTTGGTTGATAGGACAACCACCACACACACTAGAATCACTCTACATATCACGTAAAAGCGATGCCGAGTCTCCATATTCACATACTGGTAATACTGGTGACTCTGAGATCCGATTGGAGATGATGATGTTCAAACCAAAACATAAAGACAGAATTACTACCCAGACATTTACAGGTGCAATAACAGGACATGTTTTCGATTCACCGGTCAAAAATCTGTATCATTTATATTATCCTCTAATTTGTTTACCAGATCATAAGAAAAAGACAATCATTATTAGACCTTGTCAATTAGATGCGGAAAATGACACCGTGAACGTAAAGCACATTGCCAAGTATATCATAGATCCGAGCAATAAAGTAATTAGGTGGATATTTCCTCAAACACCCGTCTATGAGACAGTCAAGGAAAACGATGATGGTATTAAGGCCGAGATGTACAAACGGGGTTTTAGTAAACTCGATGAACAATGTTGGTTAACAAAGAAATCTTTATTATTTATTCAAAGTATTATTAATAATGATAGATTGGTTCAATTTTCTGATTTTACACTTAAAGAAATTAATCGTAATGAAAAATTTCAGATGATCGAAACTTCACTACCCTGCAATGGAGACAATGTATACCCATTAATATTCGGAGTATGGAATAAAAATACCTATTTTGGGAAAAAATATGATATTCTACTTAGAGACGACAGCAAGAATCTTCATCATAGGTCACCAGGAATTAACAGGGGAGTGAATATAACGAGCGGTATATTTTTTAGCAAATTTGAAACATCCGATGAGACTGAATATTGTGAGCCCATCATCTACATACCCGACTATGGAAAGGGGGTCCTTTATTATGTGACTGATCGAACACAGACACATGGTATTCAGAAAAAAAGAGACATCGTCCATTATATGATAAAATATCTTGTAGATTGGTCGTTTTCAAAAAAAGCTTGGTGGATCATACCAGACTTTGACGACTTTTACGAAGATGTCACGGGTGTTAAGGTTGATCTTAATAGCAATGTATTAAATAAATTCATCCGCTCGACACATATATAAACAATATTATTGATTAAACAGTAGAGCTTGAGGTAGAAAACGACAAAAACAAGAGCAATTTTATATAGACAACAGAGCAGGGACAGCTTAGTAGTTTTTCACTATAATCCGTTTACAGAGGGATACAGATATTAACCAAACAATGTATTTGAAAAAGATATTCTCTATTACGTTGGAAAGAAACGATATATAAATATAATTATCATGAAAATAAAAGAAATATTTGTCATTTATACAGTTGACTTGCAATCATTTCTTATTATTCTATATCAAACATAAACACTTAACTGGGTGACTTATCTTTAGCATGGTATTAACCATGCAGGACGTTAATAGCCGTGGACCAGACCAAAATTGTGTAGACCAAATTGATGAGCTAAAAAGGTTTATCGTTAATAGTGTGAACCGAATGGATGAACTAAAAAGGTATAGTGAATATGATTGGCGTATAGATAACGGTAGTGTGATCGAGACAACCCTCCAGAATTAGAATGGGACGACACGGATGGCTTGCCGTTACTTTTTAGTCTATCAAATTCTGCTGGTGAGAATCACTTTGAGTTAATAATTGCACCCCAGCCAATAGGACAACTGGCTCCCACCTTAGAGCCGCTCTACATATCACATAGGAGCAATGGCAAGATTCCTTATTCGCATACCGGTAACCTTGGAGACAGTAAAACCCGATTAGAAATGATGATGTTTAAACCAATTCATGAAGAAAAAATGGAAAATTCCTCTAAAAAATATATAGGTATGATAACAGGAAAGGCCTACAATAAACCGCTGAAAGATATCTGTAATTTATCACATCCTCTTATCTGCTTACCGATCACGGGAAAAAGACAATCAGTTATAAAGTCTGCCGAGTAGAAACGGAAGAAAATAACGTGAACGTCAACCACATTGCCAAATATATCATAAATCCGAGCAAAAGAACGATCCAGTGGATTTTCCCTCGACGACCAATCTATGAGCAATTTCTTTCCCATATTAATACCGAGAGATATAAAGAAGGCTTTGTTAAACTCAACGAACAATGTTGGTTGACGAGAAGATCTCTGGATAACAGTCAAAGTCAGAGCAATATGTTACTAAAGAACTGTATTATAAATGATGACAGATTAAAAAAATTTTCCGATTATACACTTCGAGAAATTAAAGGTGACAAAACTCAAATGATTGTCACTTCACTACCCGCCGAAGATACGGAATGTGAATCGCCGTTAATATTTGGAGTATGGGGGGTTCAAAGTGGTAATATTGATGATGATAGTAACTATGATCTAACAATTAACAATAGTTATAATCTAAGATCTAACCACTCGGGTTCTACCTGTTATACTAACATTGCGCCTCTTATTTTGACGAAAAAGACCGGAACTTTCGCCCTTGTAAAGATATTTGAAGTAAAGGCAAAGGATGGTGATGACGACAGGAGACCACGTACACTGTTATCGAACCATGTCAATTTTAAGACACATGCACAAGTTGGATATTGTCAACCCACCATCTGTATACCCGATTATAGGAAAGGGATCATCTTTTATATGATGGATCATATACCGATTGATAGTTATCAGGATACTCACATTTTGATGGAATATGTTATCAATTGGTCTGAAAATAAAGTCAAATGGACCATACCGTACGAAAATATAAATAGGTCTCAAAGATGACGATATTCATCTAATAAGGGTTATCTAGAAAATGTTTCTATTTAGCTATTAACCAAATGTAAAATGTTCATATATAAATATTAAAATTCATGTAAGTCATATTGCTAGAATGAATTGTTAGCCAAATACAAATAGACAAAGAAATAATACTTTTGTGAGGGCATTGTTGATTAAAAGCGTGGATATAAACGAACCATTTCGACGACTAAGAACATACAACAATTTTTATCATAATGTCTGATAAAAATTACGTATTTTCTCCATTAGCCTGCAGTGCTAAACATGTGGAGAAGATTCTGATTGATTTAGACCTTCCGGGTACATCGTGTCATGTTTTTTCGGGAGACCGTCTGGCTGTACACTCTTCTACCGCATCGCGCGGTACCGTCACCTGGGAAAATAACTTCAAAACCAAAGAATACGCATCCTTGCTCGATGCCTCAAATCATGAAAACTACGAGAGGTTTATCATGGATAACCTCTCGCAAAGAAATATTGACCAACTTGGAATAACGAAACAAATTTCCAATTTTACGCTTCAGAAAATAGATCAGAATGTGATCGAAACACCCATTCCAAGGGATGATGTACAAAATTCACCACTGGTGTTCGCATTATCGAAACAATTTAATAATGATTATTATGATTTGATATTACACATTTGGGGCCGACAAATAAACTACTTTATTTCGCCAAGCAGAGAACCGACTCTGTCCCCTATTCACATTCTGGTGACGTCAAGAATGGTACGACTTTGTTACATTCAATGATAATGAAAGAAAGGATTGATTCCATCAGTACTGGTGTAGTGACAGCACATGCTTACAATAAAAGATCATTCCAGCAAATTTCTCATTGCCAACCCTCCATCTGCATACCAGATTATGGCAAGAAGATTCTTCATTTTATACCCTGTCCTCTAACACCAGACATTGTCAAAAACAGCGACGTTAACCATATCGTCAAGTATACCATAGATCCAGGAAGGAAATCCATTCGGTGGATCTTTCCATTCCGGGCCGTACGAACATCTTAATGTAAATGTTGGTTGTGATCCCCGATCTTATAGTGGTGGTTTTAAAAAACTCGATCATTTATGTGATTTAACAATACATCATAATGAAGAACAATCAACTCTCATTACTAGTGAAAAAATGAAGATGACAACGACCACATCTAAAGACGAACAGATCGATCAAAATGATGACGACAACAACGAATCGTGTGAGGCGGACGACTGTCGACCCCTCATGATCGCTCAGGCAGGCATCCCGGTTCCCACCGTATTGTTACGCGAGCTACAACCCGAGTTTGTGTTTGACTGTCAGATTCGAAATGCGGCCGCCGAACCATCGGCAAATGCCGCTACCAGCGCGCTGCTGCCGTTGGCGGCGGGGACGATCCTGTACGGCTCCGACGTCCTAATGCACGGGCGGGCACCCGACAGAAACGTGGCACAGCGCTTCGCGAGGAGGATGCGAAACGCTTCTAGGGTAATCGTCGTGGTGGGCGATAAAGACGGACCCGGCGCTTAGGCACACCAACAAGCTGAACGCCATCTACGTGATCGTTCCAATGAACGAAAAGATCGTACAGGATCAGGTGAACGCAAGCATGGCGCTCGCACACCAGGGTCCGTTGTCTACGGTGATCTGTTTTACGAACGGGGTACTGCGCTACCACCGGGGAATATGGGACGGAACGAAGTACGGCGATGAGGTGTTGCCGTCAACAGTGCTGAAAGAAGGC